TCAACAGCTCTGTAAAACTGGCCACATGTTAGAGATGAAGTTGAGGCTCCTAGAGGATAATGGACTTGCCGCCCAAAAGCACTTAATTAGGTTCAGGAAAAGTCAGTACCGGAGCCCCTACCTTCCAAATTCAAGTTCACCAGCTTATTAATAAGACTGAATTTTGTGGCTCCCAAATTCATAGGTTGACGCTCTAGCCTTCAATGTGACTTTGGAGATAGGACCTTTAAGAAGCTAACTCAGGCTGAGTGAGTGAAAGATGCTCAGCCATGTCCAACTCTCTGTGACCCCATGGACTGTAGCCTTCCAGGTTCCTCTGTCCATGGGGATTCTCCAGGCAAGAATACTGGAGTGGATTGCCATGCCCCCCTCCAGGGGATCTTCCCAACCAAGGGATCAAACCCAGGTCTCCTGCATTGCAGGCAAATTCTTTACCAAATGAGCCCCCAGGGAAGCCCTAAGTCTTAACTTCGGTTAGATGGGGTCATAAGAGTGGGACCCTAATCCAGTAAGACTGGCATCCTTATAAGAAGAGGATGAGACAACAAGTACATGAAAAGATGCTTAATATTACTAATCATCAGGGAAATGCAAATGCAAACCATAATGAGATATCACCTTATATCTGTTAGAATGGCTATTATCAAAAAGGAAAGAAAGAACAAATGTTAGTGAGGATGTGGAGAAAAAAGAACTCATGCCTTGTTGATGTGAATGTAAACTGGTGTAACCACTATGGAAAACAGTATGGAGGTTCCTCAAAAAATTAAAAAAAGGACTACCACATGATCCAGAAATTCCACTTTTGGGTATTTATCTGAAGCAAAAAGTAATACTAATTCAAAAAGATATCTGCACCCTCATGTTTGTTGCAGCATTATTTTCAATAGCCAAGACATGGAAACAATTTAAGTGTCTCTATCAACAGGTGAATGGAGGGCTTTCTTGGTGGCTCAGTGGTAAAGAATCTGCTGGCAAATGCAGGAGACATGGGTTTGACCCCTAGTCCTGGAAGATCCCACATGCCCAGGAGCATCTAAGTTCATCAGCACAACTATTGAGCCTGTGCTCTAGAGCCTGGGAGCCCCAACTATTGAGCCCATGTGCTGCCACTACTGAAGCCCAGGTGCCCTGGAGTCCATGCTCTGCAATAAGAGAAGGACCACAATAAGAAGCCAGCACACTGCAATTAAAGAGTAGCCCCCACTCATCGCAACTAGAGAAAAGCCCACACAGCAACAAAAACCCAGCACAACCAAATAATAAATAAATAGATAAATGGATAAAGAAGTTATAGTACACACATGCAATGGAATATTCTTCAGACATAAAAGAAATATTGCCATTTGTGACAACATAGATGGACCTAAGTGAAATAAGTCACACAAAGACAGAGACCATATGATCTCATTTATATATGGAATTTAAAACAATAGCCACCAAACCAAGTTTATAGATACAATGACAGACAAGTGGTTGCCAGACATAGGGTTGGGGAGTGAGAGAAATGGATGAAGGGAGTCAAAAGGTACAAACTTCTAAAAAAAAAAAAAAGGTACAAACTTCTAATTATAAAATAGTTAAGTTATGGGTATGTAATGTATGACATGTGACTACTAATAATATGTATTGCATATTTAAAGTTGCTAAGAGAAGAGATCTTTAAAAAATTTTTTGTAACTAATATATGGTGCCAATGTTAACTAGAATTATTGTGGTGATCATTTTGCAATATATACAAATATCAAATCATTATGTTGTACACTTGAAACAAACATAATGTCATATGTCAATACTATAAAAATGTCAATGTAGTATATTTCCAGAATAAAACCATGATGAAGCTTCAGAAAGTTTATTCACCTATAATAATAGATTTAAGGAGGAAAAAATCCTAATGATTTTCTTCATAAAGTCTGAAAAGGCATTTGATAAAATTCAACATACATTCTTTACATCCCTTTTCTTTTCTTAATTAAAAAAATTTATTTGCACTGAGTCTTAGCTACAACCTGAGGATCTTTGCTGTAACATGCATATTCTTAACTGCGGCATGCAGGATGCAGTTCACTGACCAGGGATCGAACACTGGCCCCCTGCATTGGGAACACAGAGTCTTAACCACTGGACCATCATGGAAGCCCCTCAACATACATTCTTAATAAAACTCAAGAAAATGAGAAGACAGCTCCCTCTTTATCATAATACAACATAACTATCTCAACTTAAAAGTCAGCATCATGCTTACTGGAGGAATACTAGAAGCAATCTCACTAAAGTTCTAAATAGATGATACTCACTATCATCATTATCATTTAATATGGTTCTTGAGGTATTAGCCCAAGCAAGTATTCAAAGGGAAATTAACAGATATAAAATAGGAAAGATGGTGAAGTTCTCATTATATTTGGATAATATGATGGCACATCTGGAGCACTCAAATTATATTACAAAGAATAAGAATTTCATACATCTAGGTACAAAATAAATATACAGAATGAAAAATCTTCATGTACACAAACAACAGTTAACAGACATGGAGATGGGGAAATCCCATTTATATTAAAAACAAAAAGAAAAAAAAACCTTTCTACCAACATAACAAGAATGTGAAACACCTTTTTTATCTTTTAGTTTCTCTTTATTTACTTACCCTTTGGCTGCACCATACCGTGTGGCTGTGAGAACCTCATTTCCTGTCCAGGGAGAAAACCTAGGCACTTGACAGTGAAAGTGAGGAGTCCTAACCACTGGATCGCCAGAGAATTCCCAAGAATGTGAAATATTTATTGAAGAAAACTTTAAAATATTACTGAAGGACACAAGCTTGCATATAAATGTATACCATGAACTTCAATAGGAAGACTTAACATCATAAAATATGAGTGCCCTTTAGTCTATAAATTTAACAAGATTAATAAAGTCACCAATGACATTTGGTGGAAAAGGATATGGAATTAGATAAGCTGGTTTTAAAGTTCACATGAAAAATGAACAATCTAGGATAGCCAGGAAACTTCTGAAGGAGAAGGCAATGAGGTGGGACTATACTAGATATTAAAAGCTAATGTAAAACTACAATAATTAAAACAGTGTGGTACACTAAACGAAGTCCAGAGATAGAACTAAATATTTTTGAGTATTTAGTATATGCTAAAAAAAGATGTGGGAAAAAAAGAAAGTAGATGATAAACCAGATCTGTCTCTCCATGGGAGCACAGAGGAAAAGGCCATGTGAGGACACAGCCAGAAGGTAACCATCTGCAAGACAAGGAGAAAGGTCTCAGTAGAAATCAACCTTCTTCGCACCTTGATCTTGGATTTCTAGCCTCCAGAAAATAAATTTCCATTGTTTAAGCCACCCAGTCTGTGGTATTTTGTTATGGCGGCCTGAGCTGACTAATCCACCAGTGTTCAGTGCATTTCAATAAGTGGTATATACTGAGTAACCACTGTGTGCTCTATGCCTGAGACATGATCCTTGCCTTTGGGCCTGTTCCTGTCCTTGAAGAGTTCATGGTCAGGTTAGGGAAACACACTGACTAATAATTTGAATGTCATATGGTAAGGACCATGTTAGAGGTCAACCCAGGAGTAATGAGAGATTGAGGCAATCTGTCAAGAGATGAAGGAAGGCTTCAGTCATGTCTGAACTAATTCTTGAAATGGTTAGCCCGTTAAAGAGTGAAGGGAGCATTTTCTCAGCTGAGGAAATAGAATGCTCAAAAGCATGGAGGTGAGACACATGATGGTGAGGGTGGAGACCTGTGATGCCACAGCTCCTTCAATGTGAAATGCAGAAAGCAGAAGACCTCCATATCTCCCATTTGGGACCTTTGGTCAGTATGGTATTGGGGGAACTTCTCTTAGTTTTTGAAGGTGACAGGATAATACAGCTTTCTAAAACAGGACCAGGACTGGTGCACTCATAAGCAGAAAATGCATCCTAAGTCTGCTCCTTCCTAACTTTTGCCCTGGAGCAGCATTTTGGTGAGGCTGGGGGATCTGTAGGTCGACGGTTATGGATTAAACCAGGACACTGCAAAAAATTTCTGTAAAGGCTCAGCTAATATTTCAGACTTTGAGAGCCATATGGTTTCTATTTGCAACTGCTTCCTTCTGCCAATACAGCAGAATGCCAATCTACTGGCTGGGCTGTGGTGAAGGAAAACTACAGCATTTACTGCAGAACAACAAGCAAGGAGAATGGACAGCTTATGCTCACAATATTCATATTCCCCAATGGCTTTCAGGGCAACATTACGGGTGATGGTCCCAGGGTAATTGATCAGCTCCTGAAACTTCTTCTGACTGGTTCTTGGTGAGGTAACAGGGCAAAGTTACAGGAATCTCAATCATCAAAACTCTGGCTCTAGGCAGTCTAAGGTCTAGTGCTTGTGGTCAGCGGTTTCCATCTGGTAAGATCCTGATTTTTGTAAAAAACAATTTAAGAACGTGCAACAGAAGGTCACCTATATTCCTCAAGGGAAAAAACAAATCCCTGTAACTTTTTATAGCTGACCTATTATTTATTATTACTCTCTAACTCAGAAAGGCCTAGGAGGCGAAAGATTTTTTCACAAGTCAGGAATGCATTAGATCTGTCACTGAAACCGCTAACCCTGCCCTGCTCCAGCTCGGTTTTCCTTGCCGCATACTACCTGTGTATCCCTGGGCCTCTACGGGCCTCAGGCTCTGTGTCACTTCCCAAGATTGCGACGCCTGTGGAAGAGTTTTGTAAATCGGACAAAAAGAGCCCAGTCTTCGCCGAAGTTATTCTCCCTGTACCCCCACACACTTCTGGTCCAGCATCCGATGCGCAGGCGCAAGGGGGAGGGCGGTGCGAGCACGCTAAGAAGGGCGGGTCCCACGGCGCAGAGCGCCGACTGTTTCACGCAGGGTCAAAGGCGGCGTTGTAGCCCTGGAGGCGGCTTACCAGCTGCCCGCGGCTACCGACTCAGCTTTCTTTGCGGAAAACGCGGAACCAAGAAGCTGAGGCTATGTCGGTCGCTGCCTCCTTCCCTAAGCACACGTCCTTCTCTATGCGGGCGTCCTTTGCTCCAGCTGACGGCTTGCCTGAGACTGAGAACAACGCTGGGGAGCCGGAGAATACCTATATTCTGCGGCCCATTTTCCAGCAAAGGCGGGTAGAAGACGGGTTGTGGCGGAGGCGACCCGCGAGACTCCTGCCGGCCCCAGGCAGAGCTCGCCTAATAGCCAGGGTGTCAGGAAGGAGCGCGGTGGCGGGGGGCGGGGCTATGGAGGATGGGGCGGGGCTCGAGGCGGAGGGGCGGGCAGGGGAGGAGCCCGGGTGTTGACGGAGGAACTTGAGAGAGGGAGGAAGAGGCGTGACCGGTAGGACTGGGCGGGAGAGGATGCGGTGCTGTTCTTCTTGGCCTTCCGGCTGCAGGAACAGCAGAGGACCGGACCAGCGATTGCAGGGTTAGAACGCTCGGAGGTAGTCCCTTAGAGTAGCGCAGAAGGGGTAGTTGACTCTAGGAGTTTCAAAAAGTGGACACAGAGGAATTGAGATGGTTAGATGGCAGAAAACAAACGGCTTGCTTTGAATACCTTTCAGTTTTGAGGGTTCATGTGTGCATAAGTGTGCCCAGAATGCGCTTACTCCTCTGCATGAGACCTGTATATGTTCATATTATAGTCTTACCCAAGTAGTATCCAGAGGCTTTTGGCCTGCCACCCTGATACCTTCCCGGAATTAAGGCACAAAGTCTTGTGTAGAGGACGGTCAGGGTTGTAGGATCCAATAACTTCATTTTCCCAAGATAAAAAAAAAAATTAAGACTTTCCCAAGCCCCTCCTCTGTTACTTGAAATTAAATTCCCAAATCAATTGCTTGGTAAATACTAGAAGCCAGGAACGTTACTTATGATAAAAAGATTTCATGTAGCAATTTTCTGGTGGGTAGCACGTGTGTGTAAAGGTCACCTCAGTCGTGTCCAAGTCTATGCAACCCTATGGGACTGTAGCATGCCAGGCTCCTCTGTCCATGGGATTCTCCAGGCGAGAATATTTGAGTGGGTTCTGCTCTATGGAGCTTGTGTTGTAGTTGGGTTGGACCACAAACAAGATAATTGCATAAGTGAACCATATAGTGTATCAGATAGTAGTAAGTACTTGGAAGGGAGATATATAAAGTGATATAGTAGGAGGGTGGTTTGAAGTTTTAGAGAGGGTGGCTAGGGAAAGAGACTTTTGAATAAATACTTGAAGGAAGTGAAGGAGCTAGGTATGCATATAAAGAGAGGAGCTGAACCTCTTACAGAGGTTAACATCAAGTGCAGAAGCACTGAAGTTTGCATGTCTGGTGTGGTCCAAGAACATACAGAAGGCTGGTGTGGCCTGAGTGGAGAGAACTAGGGGCAAAGTAGTGGAAAACAAGGTCAGAGAGTTTGCTAGGGTATATCGAATGGGACCTTGCAAGTCACAGAATGTTGCTTTTATTCTGAGTGAGGGGGAAAATATTTGGGTATTTTAATCAGAGGAGTGTCATGATGTGACACATATTTTAATAGCACCAGTGTAGTTACTATGTTGAGAACAGGATTTGGGGGCAAAGGCAGACACAGAGACTTGTGAGGAGGTCATGGTAATCAGGAAAGAAACAGTGGTAGCTTGGAGCAGGGTGGTGGTAGTTGACTGGTGAGTGATTGAATTTTAGGTTATTTTGAAGGTAGAATTGATAAGATTTGCTCATGAATGGGATGAGGGCTCTGAGAAAGGCAACCACACTGACTCCAGGGTGTTTGGCGTGAGCAATTGGAAGAATGGAGTTACCATTTACTGAGATAACCTAGTTTTGGTGAGAAATGATCAGAATACATGAAATGATCAGAGAAATGATCCAATACATTCAGTATTGGATGTACTAAATCTGAGTTGCCTCCTAGTCAACTGGATGGAGTCCTGGTGGGAATATGTGGTCTGAAGTTTAGGGGAATGGTCCAGGCTGGAGATATAAGTTTGCAATATGACTTGTTTTCTTAATTTGTTTTTATTACTTTCATAATAAAAATATGAAAAAGAAGGATCGAATGATTGTAATGACAAAAAACTGGAGGAAGTTGCGCTGTGAAGTTCAACTTTAAGTTTAGGATTTTGGAGTTACCAATTAGATGTTTTGAACTGATTCATTTAGGTTCAGACCCTCTGTGGTTAAAGACTGTATCCATGCTGTACTCAAGGAGGAACTGGCCAATGCTGAATACTCTCCAGAAGAAATGCCTCAGCTCACAAAACGTTTATCAGAAAATATTAAAGATAAATTAAAAGGTAATAGTGATGGTAATTGGAAACGACTTGTTCCCTTCAAAATCCAATTTTACCAATTTATCTCCTTTATTTTTAAACAAGGGACATAGCTTAGCTGTGGATTCTGTTAAACACAAATTTTTCTTTGGTGTTGGTCTTCTCAATTATTTGGTAAATTTCACTCATGCAGGTTTTTGCATATGGTGGGAAGAGCAAAGGTGTGAAATACCTAGTTGTACTGAACAGCTATCCAAGAAATCCCAGTATGCAGAAAGATCAGAAAGTACAGAGGCTCCTTTCCTCCATAACTTCTGATATCTGCTGAGATATCAAGTCCTCAGCTTCTTATCATATCCTCCCAGATGGACCTCAGTCCATCTCTCTGGCCGAATCCTTAACCACTTGCCCTACTCAGCTCTCCACTCCTGCCTCACTCTACACGTGCAGGGCTGATCTCATGCTTTTCCTCCTTGTTCTTTGTCTTTCTATCTCTCTTACTCTCTTTTGTTAATAATGTCATGCCATCTGAAAAGTCCTTTCTGTCTACCCTTTAAAAACTGTTTATTTTGGCTGCACCTCATGGCTTGTGGAATCTTAGTTCCCCAGCTGGGGATTGAATGCAGGCCATGTCAGTGAAAGGCTGGAATCATAACTAGGCCACCAGGAAACTCCCTACCTACCCTTTTTAAAAAATTATTTTGGAGGGAAGAAATGTCTTTGTAATCGTAATACATTTCATTGTAATAAACCTGGAAAATATACATAATGTGTTTTTTAAAGTTATGTAAAAGCCTGTTAACCATGATAGTTTTTATTTAATACTTTGATATATTTTCTTATTTTTAGTAATGTGTCTTAATTTTTAGAAATATAAAAAAATACAAAGAAGAAAATTGCAATTCTATTCCATCATCCAAATTAACTGTTAGTATATTAGCATTGTTTTCAGATTTTTAATGAAATTCTGTTAAAATTATTGTAAAAAATACATGCTTGCTATTAAAAAGTTAAAGTGTAGAAAGATAATTAAAATTAGAATGATTACTTCAAATGCCTACACCCATGAAGAATTGTTAGTATTACATGAACATCATACCAGACCTCTTTTCTATGTATGCATGCATACATGCTTAGTTGCTTCAGTCGTGTCTGACTCTTTGTGACCCCATGAACTGTAGCCTGCCAGGGATCTCTGTCCATGAGATTCTCCAGGCAAGAATATTGGAGTGGGTTGCCATTTCCTCTTCCAGGATGTCTTCCTGACCCAGCTATTGAACCCTGGTCTCATGCATTGCAGGCATATTCGTTACCCACTGAGCCACCTGGGAAGCCCCTTTTCTATGTATCAGTTCAGTTCAGTTAAGTCACTCATTCGTGTCTGACTCTTTGCGATCCCATGAATCGCAGCACGCCGGGCCTCCCTGTCCATCACCAACTCCCTGAGTTTACTCAAACTCATGTCCATCGAGTCGGTGATGCCATCCAGCCATCTCATCCTCTGTCGTCCCCTTCTCCTGCCCCCAATCCCTCCCAGCATCAGGGTCTTTTCCAATGAGTCAGCTCTTCGCATGAGGTGGCCAGAGTATTGGAGCTTCAGCCTCAGCATCAGTCCTTCCAATGAACACCCAGGACTGGTCTCCTTTAGGATGGACTGGTTGGATCTCCTTGCAGTCCAAGGGATTCTCAAGAGTCTTTTCCAACACCACAGTTCAAAACCATCAATTTTTCGGCACTCAGCTGTCTTCACAGTCCAACTCTCACATCCATACATGACCACTGGAAAAACCATAGCCTTGACTAGACAGACCTTTGTTGGCAAAGTAATGTCTCTGCTTTTTAATATGCTATCTAGGTTAGTCATGACTTTCCTTCCAAGGAGTAAGCGTCTTTTAATTTCATGACTGCAATCACCATCTGCAGTGATTTTGGAGCCTCAAAAAATAAAGTCTGCCACTGTTTCCCTGTCTGTTTCCCATGAAGTGATGGGACCGGATGCCATGATCTTAGTTTTCTGAACGTTGAGCTTTAAGCCAACATTTTTACTCTTCTCTTTCACTTTCATCAGGAGGCTCTTTAGTTCTTCACTTTCTGCCATAAGGGTGGTGTCATCTGCATGTCTGAGGTTATTGATATTTCTCCCTGCTCTTGATTCCAGCTTGTGCTTCATCCAGCCCAGCGTTTCTCATGGTATCCTCTCCATATAAGTTAAATAAGCAGGGTGACAATATACAGCCTTGACGTACTCCTTTTCCTATTTCTATGTATATGTATGGATAAATACTTTAAAAGCAATGATATACTATAGACTATTTCCCATAACATTGTAGCATTTATTCTGTATTTATTTTTTCCCCAATTATTTTTATTAGTTGGAGGCTAATCACTTTACAGTATTGTAGTGGTTTTTGCCATACATTGACATGAATCAGCCATGGATTTACATGTGTTCCCCATCCTGAACCCCCCTCCCACCTCCCTATTCTGCATTTTTTTTTCATTTATTTTTATTAGTTGGAGGCTAATTACTTTACATCATTGCAGTGGTTTTTGTCGTACATTGAGATGAATTAGCCATGGATTTACATGTATTCCCCATCCCAGTCCCCCCTCCCACCTCCCTCTCCACCCGATCCCTCTGGGTCTTCCCAGTGTACCAGGCCCGAGCACTTGTCTCATGCACCCAACCTGGGCTGGTGATCTGTTTCACCCTAGATAATATACGTGTTTCGATGCTGTTCTCTTGAAACATCCCACCCTCGCCTTCTCCCAGAGTCCACAAGTCTCTTCTATACATCGGAGTCTCTTTTTCTGTTTTGCATATAGGGTTATCGTTACCATCTTTCTAAATTCCATATATATGTGTTAGTATACTGTAATGGTCTTTATCTTTCTGGCTTACTTCGCTCTGTATATTCTGCATTTAAATAGTCCCTTCACCATGCTATTTCCATCACTGAGTTCTTTTTTCTGGTTCATTTCTTACCTAATAAAATTTTGTTGTAAGGTTTTTCAGGAAAGGCTCAGACATGCTTTATTTCCTAGATTCTTTCATGTTTGAGAATGCCTTTAAACCAAAATATATTTTGGTTTGGATGAATATAATATTTTGAGTTAATTTTTTTGAGAATCTTATAGATAATTGCTTCACTGTCTTCTTGCATTAAATGTTATCATGGAGAAATCCTAGGCCAGTCTGATGTTCTCTGCAGAAAGAATCCTGTCCTTAACCTTGATGCTCAATAGCTTTTCTAGAGTATGGTTTGATATTAAGCATTTTATGTCTGTTAATCTGTGGATTTTATTCTTTCCATATTGGAGAAATTTTCTTGTATCTTTTTTTTTCTTGTACATTTCCAGCTCCATTTGTTAGATTATCTTCTTCAGGACACCAGATATTGATGTGTTGAATCACCTGTGTCTACCACATTTATTATCTTTGCTGTAATCTCTTCCTTTTTCTTTGACATATACTTCTGATTATCTTAAGTCAGTAATTCAATTTTCATTTGTGTCTGTCCTGTCTCTTGCCATTTTTAAGTGATTAGTTCTGCACTGATAGATATGGGTATTCAGTTTTTTTCCTAGGCCTATACTCTCCCTTTTCATCTTTCTGTTTTGTAATCTGATTGAGTTCTTATTTTATTGAATTTGTAATTTGAGTTCTTATTGAATGTGTAAGCTTATATTATGAATCAGCTGTGAGGAATTTCTCTTTGTTCCTTGATTTATGTTATCTCCTGGGTTGAGTTTTTTGGTCTTTTAAAAAGTAAATTTCTTTTCTTGCTAGTTCTTTGGCTTATTTTTGCTGTTTTCCTTTTCCTTATTACCATTCAGCTTCTTTTCATTTTTGCTCTGATGTGGTATTGGTTTTTTGGTTTTTTTTTAGCTTTTTTTTTTTTCACCCTCCTCCCACTGTATCTAAGACTATATTATTTTTCCTTCAGAACTATGTTTTAAGCTCTGGGCATTTAATATTCTAGCCACATTTCTAAAGCATGGGTATGAGAGAACGAGGAAGAGGAATGGATAGAGAAGGAGGAAGCTCAGTTGAGCTGTGTGAAGTGTTTTTAAAAAATAACTTGGGCTCTGTCTCCTTCTGAGACTTTGTTAGGTAACGTGACTTTAAGTTCATGTCCTTCAATGGAAAGGTACCTGTAAGTGTTCAGATTATTTGCCTAATTTACCATATGATCCTGGAGCTTTTACTTTCATAAAAAAAGAAATGGCTCTGTCTCAATTTTGCCTATTTAACTTTTCCTTTTTTAAAAATTTTACTGTTTCCATTTTTCTTTGGTCAGAAAAGAGGGAAGATAAAGATGCCCATTCAGTTTTCTGTCCCCCAAATTTGGTGTTGGAGAGAATTTTCAGGATTTTGCTGCTTTAGCAGTATAGTTTTGGGGGAAGTAGCCAAGTTATCCTTGGCCATTCCATATACTCCAGAATCTTTTGGTTTCTTTTCTATCTTACTGAACAGCTTGTAGTTTTCTAAAGATCCCATGCACTATGTCTTTGCATGTGCTATGCCCCTCCATAGAATGGAGAGACATTGTTCATTTGATAAAATCTCACTCGTCTTTCAGGACCCAGCTCACTTATCACATCCTCCAAGAAGTCTTTTTCTGGTCATTCCTTCCCCATTGCCCAGTCAAAGGGAGGAACCCCAGCCCCAGCCCTCTGTTCCTAATGTACCTTGTACATACCACTCTTTGAATTATTACTCTATGGCATTTTCATTTTATTTTCTGTGTTTGCCTTCCCAACTACTATGAGTTCTTTAAGGCAAGAAGGATGTCTTATTTACTTCTGTGTCTCCAGGGCCTAGCTCAGTACCCGACTTAGAGCAAGAGAGAAAGGAAGGAAGCAAAGACCTATTGAGAGACCGCTGTGGAAGATAAATGGGTAGAGACAGGAGGAAACTTGTCTCTTCTAACCTCACAACACTTCCAGGAGGAAGGTAGTGATACTCCCATTTAACAGTTGAGGGACTTAAATGGAAAAGTTAAATAACTTGTCTGAAGTTACACACTTATTAAGCTTACCGTTAGAATTTGTCCTCAAATCTCTCTGACTCCCAGACTTAGAATCATACTCACTAAGTGTGTAGACCAAATGCTTGTGTTCGTTATCAGGCAAATTTGTCTTCATTAAGTAATTTTGCCATATATTTGCTTATATATAACTTTCTTTTTTGCTTTTCTTTCCAGAAATGGGATTTGACCGATATAAAATGGTGGTACAAGTAGTGATTGGAGAACAGAGAGGAGAAGGTGTATTGTGAGTAGTTGGTTTTTCCTTTTGTTTTTGTTTTTATAAATTTCTTATTGGGTATTCATCTTCTTGACAATTCGGTAAGATCCTGTCTTTGCAACGGTGTGAGGAAAGGACAGTGTAATAAAACGCATGTGTGAACTAAAGAGATCCTGGTACTGAGCAGTGAGGTTGACAGTCTGGGTAAGTTCCATGGGGTAACTCACTTTTCATAGTATCTGTAGGCTAATAAACTTTTGAGAGTTTATGTATATATGCTCCTAAGATAGTGTAGGATTATATACATATGTTGCCTTGGTCCTGCCATTCTCCTAAATTAATTTCTTTAAAATTGTCTGAGGGAGAAATGCAAATCAAAACCACAATGAGATACCATTACACACCAGTCAGGATGGCTGCTATCCAAAAGTCTACAAGCAATAAATGCTGGAGAGGGTGTGGAGAAAAGGGAACCCTCTTACACTGTTGGTGGAAATGCAAACTAGTACAGCCACTATGGAGAACAGTGTGGAGATTTCTTAAAAAACTGGAAATAGAACTGCCATATGACCCAGCAATCCCACTTCTGGGCATACACACTGAGGAAACCAGATCTGAAAGAGACACGTGCACCCCAATGTTCATTGCAGCACTGTTTATCATAGCCAGGACATGGAAGCAACCTAGATGCCCATCAGCAGACAAATGGATAAGGAAGCTATGGTACATATACACCATGGAATATTACTCAGCCATTAAAAAGAATTCATTTGAATCAGTTCTAATGAGATGGATGAAACTGGAGCCCATTATACAGAGTGAAGTCAGCCAGAAAGATAAAGACCATTACAGTATACTAACACATATATATGGAATTTAGAAAGATGGTAATGATAACCCTATATGCAAAACAGAAAAAGACACAGATGTACAGAACAGAATTTTGGACTCTGTGGGAGAAGGCGAGGGTGGGATGTTTCGAGAGAACAGCATATATATTATCTAAAGTGAAACAGATCACCAGCCCAGGTGGGATGCATGAGACAAGTGCTCGGGCCTGGTGCACTGGGAAGACCCAGAGGAATCAGGTGGAGAGGGAGGTGGGAGGGGGGATCGGGATGGGGAATACATGTAACTCCATGGCTCATTCATGTCAATGTATGACAAAACCCACTGCAATGATGTAAAGTAATTAGCCTCCAACTAATAAAAATAAATGAAAAAAAAATAAAATAAAATTGTCTGAGGGACAATTCTCATAGCTATTGCTATTGGCCTGGGCTTCTGTTTCTTAAAGTTCACTCTATTTTTTTTTTTTTTCTGGTCCTGATGTCAGTTACCTAACTTGTTTCTCTTATGTTTTTCTAACTGATTATTTTCTCCTTCACTGGTTCCTCTTTCCTTGCTATACCTGCAGCTGTGAACTTTCTTCAAGGCTCAGGTTTTATTCCACTGCTCTTCTCTGTGCTTTTTCAATGAGGTCATTCATTTTCATGATATCAAACTGTCATTCCCATACTGACAAGTTCAAAATCTGTACTTCTTGTTTTTTCCTGTGCCCAAGTGTTAATCTCCTGTTTTCCTTTATAAACAGGAAACAGTGCCTAGTTTAGTATTTTGTAAGACAGTGTGAAAATATTTGCTGGATGAATTTTTAAAAATACCCTGTAGATACTATCACTGAGAATTTTCACTGTAGATTGTTAGATTGGGAAAGGACTACAGATTTTTTCCAGTGTCCAGTCCCCTTATTTTATGTTGACACTTATGAGGTTCAGCATGATTTGCCCCAAATTATGTATCTGGCTGGTGTCAGGGTCACTGTACTCTTTACCATGGTGTCCTCTTCCATTTGGTCAAAAGGCTTCAGGAGATTTCTTCACCACAGAGAAACTAGCAAATACCTTATTATTCTGTCACCTCAGATTCAGTGTGTTCAAATAGAGTTCCATATTTATCTTTCCTTCCTCTTCCTAAATCAGTCAGACATTTTCATTTCTCTGTCTCCTGCAGTAATACCCAGGTCCCCCTGCTTCAAGTGTGGAGTCCTCTTTTATGTAGCCCTGACTCTCTGATTGCACACACTGTAACCTGGATGCCAGGGTTGCTTAGCTTCCCCTTATCAACACCTCCAGACTGATCTCTCTCCTGTGCAATTCACACACCAGACTAGTGTCCCTTAAGTATGCCCTTACTTTTCTTAAATTCTGTAGAGTTTATTTCAAACCTTGTAAAGCATAAACTCCTCAAACTTGTCCTGACTGACTGTTAAATGTGATCAGGCCAAACTTTAAAGCATGGCATATAAGGCCTCCCTTACCTCCTGTTAAAACTTTCATCATCTGAAATTTCAGGCATATGCAAAACTGCAGACACCGAGGAACATCCACGTGTCTGTTACTTAGCTTTAAGGTTGTCAACCACACACTCAGTTGTTTCATTCATACCTCCACCTACTCTCCCTGCCTCCACCAGATTATTTTGAAGGAAATTCTAGTCATCATATAATTTCATCTGTAAATAGAACAATATTTATCTCTAAAATATAAGGGCCTTTTTAAACATAATAGAATAGCACATTTAAACATTGAAGGTCCTTAATATTATAAAATATTCAGTTGGCTTTTTTTCTCTTCTTAAAACACACCAGGTAAGAGTCCATGCCTGGTGAGGTGCCTTGCTGGTGTCAAGGATACGGGCTCTCCTGTCTGGCACTGATATGTCCTCATCTGTATCGTTGAAGGTGGCTCAGAACTACATTTATCCACATTCCTTAAGAGAAAGAGATAGAAGGAAAACATAAATGCCTTTCCATTTTCAACACTTTAAACTTAACGATTGCACTCTTCTGATTTCAGTTGTTTCTATTGAGAAATCAGCTCTTAGTCTTACTTTTGTTGATGTGTCTTTTTTCCTAGCTATTTTAAAATGTTTTTCTCATTGCCTTTTTAGTATGATATATATGGTTTTCTTTGTATTTATTCTACTTGAGGTTCTTAGGACTTCTTGAATTTGTGGGCTCTTGAACCTTGTTGTATCAGCTTGAGAAAAGTCTTAGCCATTTTTTCTTTTTTTTAAATAAGTCTTTTAGAATAGTTTAGATTTATAGAAAAGTTTCAGAGAAACTTTTATAAAAGTACAGAGAGTTCTTAAATATTTCACATCCAGTTTCTTCTGTTATTAATATCTTCTATTAGTTTGGTACATTTGTCACAATTAATGAACCAATATTGATGCATTATTATTAACTAAAGCTCATACCCTGCCCTTGTGGGGTTTTTGAGCACATCCTTATTTACTGGCACTATAAGATGTCTCATCTTATCCATTCCCTGCCCCAGCCCTTGAATCAGCCACTTCTCTAAGGAGCCTTGATTCATTTTATTGGATAATGACATTAGATACTAAGATCTGGGTTCTATATATGGCTACTTTCTTTTAAAATATTGCCTCTGCTTCCTTGCTGTCGCCTGTCCTTTATGGACTCCAGTTACAAATATTTAGATCTTTTTACAGTAATAAACATATCTCTTATGATGCTATTTTCTGATTTTTTTGTTCTCTGTTCTTCAGTTTGGATATTTTTCTATTGACTTGTCCCTCAGTTCACTAATCCTCTTTTCTATTCTGTCTAATCTGATATTAATAAATCCACCAACTGAATTCCTAATTTGTTATTACATTTTCAAGTCTAGGATTTCCATTTAAATCTTTTTTCATAGATTCTAACTGTCTAGTGAAATTATTTTTTAATCTGTTTTCTCCATCCTCCCTTTCTCCTCTCTTTTTACATTTTGGTCTTAGCAGTGCTTACCCTGAATTATGTGTTAGCCTGTTTTATTTTACTATTTTTTTGTCTTATTAATCTTTCATATGGCTCTGTCTCTTGACATGCCTACTTTGAGTCCTGGATATTGTGTTAAAAAATTGTAAAACTTGCAGATAATATTATTTTCCTCCAGGAAAGTTTTACCTTTCCTTTATTATTCAGGTAGAATATGGTCTAGTTCCCTTAATCCAGTCAGATACTGAGCTGAGTTGAGGTTGGTTTGTTGCTGTTTTGATAAGGCTTTCTCCATCTTTACCTCACCCTTCTTTCTTGAATGTAGCCCTTCAGATCTTTCAACCAAGAACCTGGAGAGTTCATTGGAACCCGATCTGCTGACTTTTAGTCTTTTTCTTCTGAGTGTTAAACTCCTCTTCATTCCAAAGGCTTTTTCTGTAACGAATTGGTTTCCTAGAAAACAAAAATATGTTCTTTTACGGTTCTGGAGATCCTATATTCAGAATGGGTTTTGTTGAGCTAAAATCAGGGTGTTGGCAGGGCTGTATTCCTCTTGGAGGCTCTGGGGGAGGGTTCACTCCCTCGCCTATTCCATCTTCTAGAGGCCACCTGCATTCCTCAGCTCAGAACCCTTCCTCCATCTTCAATGCCAGTATGGCGTCTTCAAATGTCTCTCTGACCCTGACCCTACTTCCTCCCTCTTTATAAGGACTAGTGATTACATGGGACCCACCTGGATAATCTCTCCATCTTAATCCTTAGTTATACATCTGTAAAACCATCTTTGCCATGTAATATCGCATTCACAGGTTCTAGGGCTTAGGACACAGACATATTTGGCCATTATTTTGCCTACCACATTTAGCTTTTTAGGTTCCTGTGTGCATAGTTTCAGAATTTAACACACGTCTTAACGGGAAACCTACCACATGACAGGCTCAGTTCTACTCTCTCCTTTTTCACAGAGATCTTGGTCCCTTCAGGTCTCCAGTTTTATGCCACCCCCAAATCTCCAGCCCTGCAAGACTGCCAGCAGTCCTGCTGATTTTTTTTCCCTCAGTAATTGGTCCTTTTCCTGGACAAAGCCCAGGCTCTCAACCCCTAGCTCTGTGCTTAGAGTTGGCAAGTGCCCCAGGGAGAACTTTGCTTCAGAGTTTCAGCTTACTTCATGTGGTTCACCTTTCTCTGGAATTTTGGCTCTCCTAGTCTTTATCTCCTTCAGCGGCTCTCTAATTCTTTATTT